TTGACACGACGCTCTTCCGATCTATCGAGTCAATTGCTGGGGGTGGCGTGTGGGTGGGTGTGGATATAGGAACAGAGAGTGAATAATATACACACCCACATCCACACCCGCCCCACACCTTAACAAAGCGTTAAACTGCTTTTTAATATGATTTCAGAAAGAGCACACGTTGGAGAGCAGATGCACTAAGTTTCACGGCAAGTGAATGAACATCTGCAGAGATGTGAAAGGACAAAAAGTAGTCGATTCGTACTGTGTCACGTCGCGAACGGCGAGTAAGCTCAATTTTTTGTAAAATCTAGGCATGCTCAGAAAAAAATTTGGATAGACATTCTATAGCCCAAAGAGTCGTCTACAGAATGTACCATTTAGTTTTTAAAAATATTACCTTAATTCGCGGATCTTTTAAATCTGAAATGTATGCGGTGACAATTGATGTCCTTTTTCGCGTCACGCCACTAACGTTAGTTTTTTTAGTAAAACTCCTCCAAACAGAAGTCTTCAAGGCTGATTTTTTCAGCGTATCTAGCGTAACTTAACATACATATTTACTCATAAAAATTAGCCGTAGACAAGTTCATTATCCAAAGATATAAGCATTTTAATTTTGCGACGTCACGTCGCTATTAAATGATTTTGCCCGTATATTTATTCGCTCTGAATTTTTCTAATATTTGAAAATTTCACATCAATTGAATTTATAATTGATGTTTTATGTGAAGAATGTACAGGGTTTATATTTTTATTAGAAGGATTTAAAGAGATTCTATAGACTGTTGACAACATACAGGTAAACACATATTTTTATTTCGGCATTTGGAAGCATATCACTCTGGAGGAGTTTCCAGGAATATGTTCTCGTTGAATAAAAATTGCATATTTGGAATCAGTGTAGTTAATAATCTCCGTCGCTATCAAGATCTCGAAATGGTACCTCCGACGATAAGCAAACCAAAAAATTTTCTAAAAATCAATGGAAAAAGAACGGAATAGATCAGCAAAAAAAAATTAATCGGTTCGCACAGGATTTGAACCTGTATCAATTCTGTTCACATTCTTAGCCACTAGGCTATATGCGAAGTTATCTTCATCTGTTCTCTCGTCAAACTGAAACTCTTTTTTTCCTTTGAATTTCAACTCATCTAATGACTATTCAAATACAATATCACCAATACTTTGGAGAAAAGAATGTTCATATTCATGTCTTCCGATTTGATCTCTGTTGAAATTGATTATTCAAATCCTTGATCTAATTTGTTCATCTCATTAGATAATTCTTAAGTCAAATATTCAAATCAAAAGATAAAGTCTTTTCATTAGAATGATTTTATTGAAATAAAAAAGATCAATATAAACAAAATGAAGATACGAGAAATATCTCGATTCTTAATTGTTTAGACGCAATGTGTATCAAATTTGGAAGTAGTGTACAAAATTGAATACATTCAGAAATTTTCCATTGAGATATTGTCTTTATTTGCGTCAGGGAGAGAAGAAAAATAATTCTATTTGAAAAGACTAGAATCATCACCGGCTTTTTTTTGTTGCTTCATCATATGTTTTCTCTTGATCAATGTATCTAGAGCTTGATGAATTTATCTTTTTTTTTTCTTCGATGTGTTTCTACACATGGGCGCAGCCAGTTGACATGATATCCCAACATTCATTTGTTTATTTAGCTTCAACGAGTTATCTGAAAAACATGATTTTTTTACCAGTTATAGCCCATATATAATGCTAATGATCTGTTACTGTTTGAGATCTATGTTACTAGGAACGAGAGTTATTAAGTATGTCCTTATTATCATTGTGTAGAATATACTTCACATCTAATTTATTAACATACACCAGTCCTTACTAAGAAATTTGAAAGAACATGAAATATCAGTAATATATTTTTATTATCAAGTAGTCAATCAGAAAACACGACTTATTAGATTGCTTATTTATGAATAGGATGTTTATTCAAATTCAAATTACATAGAGCAGAAACAAGTTGTACAATTTTAGTTATCTTATGAAAATCATCAATAGCTCCTCTATAAACACTACCTAAGATGGCATAGGTTTTGAGATGTTGATTGATATTTTCAATAGTTGCTCTTGCACTGTTTATACTTCGATTGAAGCTTTTGTCTTCCTCTGATAATTCGCGTCCATAAGGTTTCTTTCTTGGAGTAATCACATATTCTTCACCAGTGTGACCTTTGTCAGCAATAATTTGCACCGAGTCGCTCACATGTTCTAATAGTCCTGATTCTCTTAGAATTGTGATATCATGTACACTGCCTTTGTAACATTCAGACACATGCACTATTCGATGACGAAAATCACAAGCTATTTGCACTTTTAATGCATAATTTGTCGAACTTTTTGCATGATACTATGCTTTACGTTGAGTTGAATCATTAGGTTGGGGTATTGCGATGAAAGTCGAATCAACTATTAATTTATGATGTTCTTCAGATCCATGTGCTGTGGTTCTGTTGGACATATCAGCAGGTAATGAAACTAATTTTGGATATACACAGGAATGTAAAATATTCACAACTTCCGATCATAGATAATTTACTGTTGATCGATCCAAATTTAATTCTGAAGCAATATAACGCTCAGAATGATAATGCTTCAAGTACCATAATGTAACAGCAAGCAAATTCATAGGAGATAAATATGAGGTAGTGGTACTGTTTGTATGTCGATAGTTTTTATGGGAGCAATAATTTATAAGTGGTTGTTCGCACAGAGAATACAATTCTTGTATTTGCTCGACGTCATCTCCGATATGTTGTACATAAGATTCATTAGTACGTCTCCATTCCGACCACGGACGTTGTTCTACAATATAAATAGAATGGGACGCACATGTGTAAACTAAGAAGAGTAAGATTACTTACTATCATTTAAAGCTTGAAACTGTTATTGCTTTTCTTCTTCAAGTTCGGGTGTACAATAACTATAGTTGTCGCGATGACGATAATAATTAGTGTACAAACCAGATCTTTCTGAACCAATAAATGTCCAAGTTAACATAGAGTGATAATTGGTACAATATTTTCGACGACTAGTCGTGGCAGATTGACATTGAGAACAACTCCATTGAATTTGTGGAGAAAACATAGTGCAAAGATGGTAAGTGTTTGTAAACAAGTGAAAGTGTGTTAAAGAAAAGGAAGAACGAACGAAAGCAAGAAAAAAGTCACAGTTAGAAAGAGGATAATGTGATTGGAACACAAAGATACGATAGAATAGATGAAATGCTGCTGTGGACGAAATATATACCAAGAGCGAGATGTTAACAAATTAGATGTGAAGTACATTCTACGCAATGCTAATAAGGACATACTTAATAACTCTCGTTCCTAGTAACATAGATCTCAAACAGTAGCAGATCATTGGTATTATAT